TGTGAGTTTGAGCACAAACGGGCTAAAATGATGCAATTGCGTAGCACAAATTTGAAAGCGTTTTTTTTTTGTGCTAAATATATATGTTATATAATGGAACTTTAGGCCAGCCCAGATTTCCGTTATATCGATCATTGACTGTATATATGTAATTCTACCTAAGCTAGTTAAATCTTGATTAAAATATACTATATTTATATATATTTATTAATGTATACGTATATTATAATTGCTATCAAAAAGCATTACTGAACCGGATTTGCTTACGTTCCAGTAAAAATTTTGACCTACTGTAGTTCATATAATTTAATCTTTAAATAATCACACCAAATTTTGTTTTCCAACCTGGTGATCATATCAAGATTTTGCTACCTTTTTTTTTTTTTTTTATATAGCTATAAAAATAGAGTATAAACCCATATTAAGACTAGAGATATTACAACTTTACCCAAAAAGCTTTTACTTAATAAAATTCGGTTTTTTCAACTAATCATAATTGCTATAAATGAGTTAGGTTTTTTTTGACTTGAAGAGTATAATACAAAAAATCGATCGACTTCGAATCAAGATTACTTAAGGCTAAAGCTTGTAACAAAAAAATTGTTAAAATTTTAAGATTGAAACTTAGTTTATCTTCATAAATTTGCACATAAAATTTAGATGTACTAATTTATTTGACCAAATAAGTGCAATATTTGGACCCTCTTTATGAAGACATGATTGATTTGTGACTATTAAAGAGTGTAATATAAATTTGATTTACAGATTTATTTCCATTAATCGTTAAGTATGAATTCAACAAAAACGTTTCATTTTGGAAATAATTCTCATGATGAAAGCGAGCACCGGACAGTTGTTATTAAAGAAGTATTTATCACTGTTTTTGTCAATATCAAACCAAAAAAAAACTTAATGTACTAATGGCTTTAATATGTTTAGTTACTTCATTCATCGTATGGATGTTACATATGGCCGTCAGCGTTTGTTTTAGCAGAATATATTTGGGATAAGCGAAATTTATTTAAGGATAAAACTATTTTAGAAGTAATCATTCTCTTAGCTTATGTGGATAGCAGTTTTTTTTTCCTTTAAACAATAATAATAATAATAATCTTAAACACAATATCAGCTAGGAGCAGGAACTTCATTGCCAGGATTTTTATGTGCTTCGTTATCACCTCAAACACACGTTATTCTAACAGATCGATCTGATTATCCGCAAATCCTGGAAAATATTTATGATGGTGCGCGGTTAAATAGGTTATTGGTAACGTTCGATGATGCTTTTACTGAATCGTTACGATCAAATATTTGGATAAGAGGATTAAATTGGGGAGAATTTTGTCTTGGTGACCAAGGAAAAGATAAGAGTGAAAGAAATTTATTGCAATTATTACATGATATTGAGCAAAATAATAGAAAATTGAATTGGATTTTGGGTAGTGATACATTTTATGATCCCAAAGGTATCTATGATTAAAGTGTTACCTTTTTTTTATCTTGATTTTAACAACATTTACATTTATAAAATATAGACTTTGAGGATATAATTGCAACTATTGCATATATACTGAATTATCACGCACCAAAAGCAAAGTTCCTAACTTCATATCAAGAGCGAAGGTACGTGTATATCTTTTTTTTCGGAAATCAAATATATAAGTTAACAACTTTTAACAATGCTCATAATTATTTTTAAAGTTCAAAACGAACTATTCAATATTTATTAGATAAATGGAAACTTAAATGCCGACAAATATCTCTCAAATCGTTTAATTTTGATTATGACAAATATACTAATAGTAATAATAGTGAGTTAAATGATTCAATAAATAATACATCAGAAGCAACTTGTAAAAAAGAAATGATATATTCATCTTCATTGCAGAGTATTTTCTTGCTCGAAATTTGGAAAGATTAATTCGACTTTGTTTTAATATTAGAAACCCCCTATACAAAAATTACTAAATCCATTCTCATTCGATACTTAAACTAAATAACTATTATTAAGGAGATAGAAATAAGCCACAGTCATAGTTGTGTTATTAAATATGAATAAATATAATTAATGTACGATAATATCAACATAGTCGACATATTGATATTCATATATCAACTTGTTCAATTTGTTATTTCAACTTGTTATTTCATCTTGTTATTTCATCATAACTGGGTGGTAGCTCGTCCGGAGCTATCGGTGGAGGTGCTGTAGAATTAACGGAAGTAGAATGAGATGGGGATGTTGCATTGGTGAGAGGTCCTGTTGGTGGAGTGATGCTAGATGCCCCCGTTCCTAATGCTTGTGTAGCAGTTGATGTGGAATCTTCACGCGGTGTATAAGTTGGTAATGGCTCAGTATGTTCAATAAGAACGTAACTTTCACTCTCTAATAAATAATTGTTAGATCAAAGTGGTCTATATTAACGATTATCAAATTAAAACTCACCGTTAAGCCTTTGTATTAATTCGGTGTAACATGAGCTGAAATCATATCCGCCTATTTTATTAATATTCAAATGTTAATAACATAACTGTCAAATTCTTAAATATAAATCATTATCTCAAACCTGACCTCCTTCTTTAAAAGTAATTTTCATTTGCCCGGGAGATGGTAATCCGCCATTCTGTACCTTTATTTGTTATAGAAAGTATTACGTTATTACCCATAATGGATAGTAATAATTTAAATATGTAACATAAATTCTCACTGGTATCAAGCCCGCTTCATAGTAGTTAGCACCAAACCAAGGTTGTTGAAGTTTCCCTTCCCTCAAATTCAAAAGAGGTATGCTTAAAGATTGAAAGTTAGGCAGAGTTGGGCGAGAAATAAATATAACCTGTTCAAAAAATTGTTAAACCAAAAAGTAATGATTGACACATTGCAAAGCAAATTACTTACACGTTGATTTGTGATAAAAATGTTTCCATCAGCTTTATAATTTGCAGGATTTCCAGGATATCCGCTAGTAAAGTTTAAGATCGTGTTAGTATAATTTTGTACCTTTGGATATAAAGCTGATTTAATTAAGATTAGAACTTACCCGCCTAAATCCAGCAGAAGGGATACTTTTTCTTGACTATATTTTAATAAAATTGAGAAATTTGTTAATTCAGTTAATTCAAATGTTTTTAGACCCAGAACTTAAGCTAAATCAGCTCAAACCTAAATAATATTTTTTCTCCAGGAAGAGGAACAGGACTCTTCCCATCGGACGCAATCATTACCCAATTCAATGCCATTATGACAAGTATGAAATCCTCGCTTTACAAAATTTATCAATACTTTGATTGTGATACTTTTATACGTATTCGATTTGAAGATTTCCTTAAATAGTTTATTTATAATGAATGTTATATGGCATGTTTTTTGTATAATGGAGAATCTAAATAAAGGTTTCAGATTTAAAATCTATCGCTATCAATTTGTTTAATATAAGGGGAATAATGTATCACGAATTACGTGTGTTCTAATATGATTGGATATACTTTTGGGACATGGAATTGGACATATTGTTGCTTGAACTTTCGTTCACATACGTACGTACGTAAGTTAATCGAAGGTAGATCCGTTTGAATTCTCGTTCATAATACTGATAATATACTTTAGAACAGACTAGTGCCAACTTAGCCCCAGACTAGTATAAAATTATTAAAAGTAACGGTAAAATCCGAACTATTCAACTCGTTTTGGTCTAATAGCGCGGTGTATGAGTTGGGCTTATAAATGCGACGCATTAAGGTAACAGTGCTGTAACCTTTACATATCGATATGTATCAAGGTTGCGGACTCTGTAATAATAGATCACTTGATCACTTGATATATGAATACAATCAATTCTATAACGAACTGTAATTTACTGTTTCTATACAGAATTCTAAAAAATCTCTATAGATAAAATAGATTCGTTATATCCGGAGTCGATTGTAAAAAAAAATAAAAAAATAAAATTATGATTTTTAGATCCTGCCGGTGTATATCGATATCGATATAGAACTAGATTCCAGCATAAATTTATCCACATTCGAGAATTGTTTCTTGATTTCGTTTCATCGTTCTAGTTTAATTGTTCTAGCCAATTGTCGATTCTAGTTTTCGCGGCATGCCGTTTATTGGAAACAGATTCTTAACGGGTTGTTAATCACTTGTCGATTCCGTCATAACATCAAACTTTGATCTAACCAACCTATGAAGCAGATCACCATATATTTGCAAGTATATATCTAATATTACATTGTCTCTGAAACTGTATTCTTTTTTGATGTTTCCAGTGTTCTAGGATTAGAAATAACACTACATAAATTTAATACATTTATTTATTTGATTTGTGATACACCCCATATCTATATAGATTTTTGCTAGAACAACAAGTCACGAGACAGTAATCATATGTTCTGTGACATTTCTAGCAACTAGTATATAACCCGTCGCGTTGCTCCGATTTTAAAGCATATCATCCAAAATGCATTTAAAATAAGCTAGTTATTTTATATTGATATTCACATAAATACTTTACAAATATTAAAGCGGAGCAGTATCACATGACATATAACCAATCAAATTATGGAATTTTGCTAATTGGCATCGAAGCAAGTTAAGAAATAAAAAAAATGCAGTCTGGGTGGGTTAATTAAACTTGCTATGAGGCAATTTTGCTTATACAGTCATCCTCCCATAAAATCACACAGTTGGGCACATAGTAAACTTTTTTCAAAATGTGTTTATATAGAAGTTGTGCTTATATGGAGGTCTTTTTCTTATAAATTAAATCATAGTTTGGCCCAAACATAAATGTGAT